CCTAACCCTGAATTGTACCCCACATCTTTAAAATAAGAAAAAGAGAAAAAAATGACCAAATCTCGCAGTCTTGGGCTAATGTGAATGACTGTTGCTTCTTAAGTAATGACCGCAGTAGGGATGTTCTAGTATTCTTGTCTTCTATATAAGACTTATTAAGATACACAGTCATTTCAAAGACCTAGAAAAGACAATGCAGAAATTCATATGAAAGCAAAAAATTGCACAAATACCTAAGACACTTCTCAGTAGAAGGAGCAAAGATGGAAACATTACACTTCCAGACTCTAAACTTTAATACAAGGCTACAGTAACCAAGAGAGTATGGTATGGTATGGTACAGGTATTGTCGGGGACTAAATAGTTAAAGCATGTAACTGTCTACCTAGAAAAGCAGAGTCCAGATAAGAATAGTATGTGTCTTTCAAAGTACAGAAAGTGCTGGTCAAGGACAAAACTAATATGAAATGTTAGCAGAACAGTCTGAGTCAGGATACAAACACTTCTTGATAGAGGGGAAGTTTAATGTTGAAGATTGGGGAAGTTTGAATGCCTGATTGTATAAAAACTCTGGAATAAAGAGAAACGGGGCCACTCAGGGACTAGCCTCAGTGCCCTCCCTTTGCAGCAGAAAGGAGTCTTGTATTTCTTTTACGTCTCCACTCCCTCTTTCAGGTACCCCAATAACCCCGGCTGGTCCGGACAAGGTATAAACACTAGACAAATGGAACAGGACAGAGAATCCAGAAATAAAACCAACTCATCTTTGACAAAGCCACCAATAACAAACACGAGATAAAGGAAACCGTATTTAGCAAATGGTGCTGGGAAAACTGGCTAGTCACATGCAGAAGAATGAAACTGGACCCTTTCCTATCAATATACAAAAATCACCTAAAAATGGATTAAGGACTTAAATTTAAAACCTCAAAATATATGGATTTTACAAGAAAACTTAGGGAACACCCTCCTGGACATTGGGGTAAGCAATGAATTCATGGCCAAGTCCGCAAAAGCAAATGCAGGTAAAGTTAAGATTGACAGATGAGACCTTATCAAACTGATAAGTTTTTCACAAACTTATCAAAAGATACACCAAGAGGGTAAGGAGAAAACCACAGAATGGGAAGAAATATTTGCAAGCTGTGCATCTGACAAAGGCCTAACATCAACATCAGGATCTACAAGGAACTGAAACAAATTGAAAGAATAAATAAATAAATAACAACCCCATTAAAAATTTGGAGACAAAGGATGTGAACGGACAAGGAAGACATACAAGCAGCCAAAAAATACATGAAAAAATGTTCAGCTTCACTAACAGAGAAATGTAAATCAAAACTATAGTGAGATACTGCCTAATACTGGCAAGTATGGTTACCACAGCTGTGAAGAAAAACGAATGTTTCTACACTTGGTAGAAATGTAAGCTAGACCAACCTTTATGGAAAGCAGTGTGGTGATTTATAAAAGAAATAAAAACTGAGTTTCCATATAATCCAGCAATCTCTCTTCTGGGAATATACCCAGAGGAACATAAATTGCTCTACCAAAAAGACATCTGCACATGTATGTTCACTGCAACACTATTCGTAGTAGCAAAAACATGGAACAAACCCAGATGCCTATCAAAAGTGGACTAGATAAAGAAAATGTGGTACATATACATGATGGAATACCATGCAGTCATAAAGAAGAACAAAATCACAGCCTTTACAGCAACATAGATGCAGCTAGAGGTCATCATATGAAGTGAACTATCACAAAAACAAATAACTGAATATCGCATGTACTCACTCATAAGTGGGCCCTGATCACTAGTCACAGCAACACAAGAGCAGGATTGGTAGATGCTGGACACAGTTAGGGGAGGGAGGGAGGGAGGAAGGGGGGCGCATGCCAACACACTGGGTACCTGATCCACTATCAGAGAGAGAGAAAGTCAGCTAGAAGCCCAAACTTCACTTCCTCCCTCCCCTAACAGTGTCCAGCATCTACCAGTCCTGCTCTTGTGTTCCCATAATTTTATAAAATTCAGGTCACTCCTTTATGGAATAGAAGAATATATTTTCAAATCATTTTTCTGATAAGGAGTTAATATCCAAAATGCTGTAAGAAATTCCTACAACTCAATAGCCAAAAAAAGTCAGCCAAAATGAAACAAAACAAAAAACTATTTAAAAATTTGCAAAGAATTCAAATAGACTTCTGTCCAAAGAAGACATACAAGTAACTATCCGGTATAAGAAAGGATACTCAACACAACTAATCATCAGAAAAATGCAGGATCAAAACTAAGTACATTTGTTAGAATGGTTATCATAAAAAAAAATAAGAGAGAGATAAACATTGGCAAGAATATGGAGAAATCAGAGTCCTTATACACTATTGGTGGGAATGGAGAATGGTGCAGCCACTATGAAAAACAATATGGAGGTTCCTCAAAAAATTAAAAAGAGAACTACCATAGAAAATGCAATGCAGCTACTGGGTACATAGCCAAAAGATTTAAAATCAAGGTCTCAAAGAGATATCTGCAACTCCAAGTTCACTGCAATATTATTATTCATAATGGCCATGTTATGAAAGCAACCCAAATGTCCATTGACAGATGAATATACAAGGAAAATGTGACAAATAAACATATTGGAATACTGTTCAATCTTTTTGAAAAAGGAAATCCTTCTATTTGTAAAAATGTGAATGCACTTGGAGGACATTATGTTATGAGAAATAAGCAAGTCACTGAAAGACAAACGCTACATGATTTCACTTATATGAAGTATCTAAAATAGTCAAACTCATAGAAGCAGAGAATAGAACCGTGGTCACCAGGGCCTAGAGAGAGAGAGAGAAATGGGAAATTACTGCTCAATGAGAGCAAGGTTTCAATAATGCAAAATAGAGAAGTTTTAGGAATCTGCTGGCCAACATAGTACCTATAGTTAATAATATGGTGTTTTGCAGTTTAAAATATATTAAGATACCGGGCTCGGTGGCTCAGCCTGTAATCCCGCACCTTTGGGAGGCTGAGGTGAGTGGATTGCCTGAGCCCGCGGGTTCGAGACCCGCCTGGGCAGTGAGACCGCATCTCTACAATAAACCAAAAAATCAGCTGGGCATGGTAGCGCATGCCTGTAGTTCCAGCTACTCGGAAGGCTGAGGTGGAGGGATCGCCGGAGTCCAGCAGGTCGAGGCTGCGGTGGCCGGGAGCGGCCACTGCACTCCAGTCTGGGCGACAGAGTGAGACTCCAACTCAAAAAAAAAAACCAAAGAAAAAAAAGAATACCCCATCACAGCAAAAAATGGCTTCAAGAATTTAATATAGAGAGTATTAAAAATGCTGCCTGGCATGGGGTTTCACACCTGTAAAATCAGCACACTGGAAGGCAAAGGCAGGAGGACAGCTTGAGGCCGCCAGGAGTTTAAGATCAGCCTGAGCAACATGGGAAAACTGTCTCTAAAAAATTAAAAATAAAAATATTAGCTTGGTATGGTGGTGCATAGCTGTAGCCCCAAGTATTTGGGAGGCTGAGGTGAGAAAATTACTTGAGCCCAGGACTTTGAGGTTGAAGTAAGCTATGATCATGCCATCGCATTCCAGCATGATTGACAGAAGGAGAGTATCTCTTTTAAAAAAATGTCACTAGCGTGTCAAAAGCCAATGTTTAAAAAATACAAAATTTGTGCTGCTGTAGTGACAAAAATAATAAAAGCAATATATAATGACAATTCAGAAAAACAAAAGATTCTAAAAATATAGACAAGTACTGAACACCCAAGCCCTGCATAATTGTAATAAGCTTTTTGATAAGCACTAAGCAATTTGAAGTTTAAAGTGATTTTGCAATGACAATGTACATCAGTAGTACATTTTTAAAAAGTATAAGATAATGAATGGGATTTATGAATTAGACTCTATATCCTGGCATTTGTAGATTTGGTGCTCTTAATATTTTTAAGAAAAAAAGTATATATATATATATATATATAAAAGGCTCTTAATATTTTTAAGAAAAAAAGTATATATATATATATACATATATATATAAGGCTACTTCAGAAGGTTTTTGTGAGAATTAATGAGATTAATATGTGAAAATACTTTCCAACATCTCTAATGAAACTTATTTTATTGTGATTCCCAAATACAGTTTCACATATATTTATTTTTATCATAACTGTTCAGTTGTAAGACATAATCATGATAGTTCCAATACTGTGTACCAAAATAGAATCAATAGATAGTTGTATTTTTTTCCTTACTCTTATTTTTAAAATAGTTCCTTCAACCTGAACAAATTTTCACAAGGTTGATGTATATTCACCCCAACATTTTAATCTCATGTAAATATAAACTCCTGTATTTTGACTTTTAGCTGTAAAATAAAACATTTTAACTATGTTAATTTGAAATATTGTAATGAAGAAATAGTCAAGACTGGATGCCTTCAATTTAATCACTTTTTAATATAAAAGGTAAGCAATAGCTCAACTTTTCCAGTTAATATTTATTTATTGTAATATTTGCCATCACAACTGGGCAAATGTGATCCTTTTCTTTTTTCTTTCCTTAATCATTGTTGCTACTAAGCCTGCTGTTTGTGGGTCAAATTTTGCATATATAAATGTATTCAAGACCAATTTATTTGTCACTTAGTAGCCAAAACCAAATTTGTTAATTTGCTGGCTAAACCATTGCCATGTGTTATTTCCTACTGACTTTTTCTTTTTTCTATCAGTATTATTGCTGAAAGATGTTCAATATTTCTTGAGAATTGTGAAGAAGTCATATGTTAAGAGATGAAGGGAAGGAACAGGGAAATAAGCAGTAGAAATGTGGGAACAAGGGGATAAAAATATATTAAGAAATAAAATAGCATAGTCAAAATATTGTGCTTTGCAAGTGAATACAAATTAGTGTGATCTGACTCAACATAAAGGTAAATAAAAATAGCCTTATAATTTTAAATATAGAACAAACATTATGGATCACTTACCTTTCTTTCTGAAACTTCACTCTCATTTGAAATTATTTTCTGTGGAATGGTGACATGCACAAATATATTTTCAGAATCTGCAGTAACAAAATATTTTGATTTTTGTTTTTATGGCATCAACAATATTCTCAGTTATTATCCCTAGTTCAGGGTGGAATCTACAGTTGTAAGTAAAATTGTTTTGTATGTGCTCACACTCCTTCTTGTCCACAGATTTCACTGCATTATCAGTGGCACATTAAAAATGGTTAAGATACAAACACAAAAATCAGACATTGCAGTTCTACAGACCTAACTGGTTCTCTCTGGGCTTTTCTCAGTATCCTGAGGAGTAGATTGAGGGCAGTATACCTCCACTTCCATCACAGAGTGGGATGACCCTGGAAGACCCGTTGGGTATGGGCCACTGAGACCTTGGACCCTAAAGCAGATGCCTCCTCCACTAATGTCCTTGTCAGCTGGCCTGATCTGGGAAAGGGTGAAATGGAAAAGGTACCAGCTTGTGATGGGGGGGGGGGGGGGAAGAGAAGGATTCAGAGTTACAAGGAATTGCCCTTCCCCCGCCTGCCCAGGAAGAGCCCAGCCCTGCTTGGCAGCAAAAGAAGGAATGGGAGGCTACCGTGAACTTACCCAGGTGGGCTTGCAGCCTTCCGAGCTCAGCGAAGAGTGCAAGGAGAAGGAACATGGCTCAGCCAGAGCGCAGGAAGCACAGCCAAGGACGAAGGCTGTCCGTTGGCGGTTGGGCAGGGCTGAGGCTCGTTTGCAGGCCCTTGGCCCCGGGTCACTGGGTCACTCAAGAGGACAGTGCGCGGACCCAGGGCCCTGGCGGTGAGGGCTGGAGATCTCTAGATCCTGCGCGACTACAGCAGCACGGAAAGGAAACACCAGGCACAAGCACACACGTTTGCATCAAACTGGTTTGTTGTGGACATGTTTAAGTTGTTTAATCCCCTCAGTAGCGACACAAGAATACATAAATCTTTTTAGTGATGTTCTTGGTAATTTTGTTTCTCTACGTCACAGTTCTATGGCAGGTTTTAATTACTGTGAAGGAGAAAAAGGAAAATAGAAATGACGACTATTATTAGTAGCAATTTCCTGCATTTCAACGTTCTCACCACACGCACAAAAAAGATAAATTGGTGAGATGAAGGGTATGTTCGTTAGCTTGATTGGCTTTCTAAAACGTATGCATAGGTCAAAACAACACATTATGTCCTATAATTGCACACAATTATTTGTCTAAAATAAATGTACAAAAAAGAAACTGGAGTTTGATTTTGATAAGACAATCAAAGAGTACTTTTCTTCAGCTGCGTACTTCATAATACCAGATTATAATCAGCGGCAGAAGGGAAAGGAAAATTTCAATATTCAATATTTATTATCCTGCATATATAAAGGAGCAATCAAGAAAATGGAACTTTATCTTGACAAGGCAATCAAAATCACTTTTATTCAATTGTGTACCTTGCTCACACAATTACAACAATAGATTATGATATAGTGTTATAAAGGAAAAGGACAACTTTAAAATGCAGCCTGTGTTTTGTTAACAAGTAACTCTAAGCTCTAAGAAGTTGTGGACATGGGAAGGGCAGCTAGGCAAGGGGAGAGAGGAAAAGTGACGCCACTGTAGATGAAAGAGTATGCATTTGCCTGCATGAACTTGCTCACAAATACCCTAAACTGCACAAGTCTAAACCTAACTCTTTTTCTGTCCCACCTCTCACTCAAACTTTCTTTCACCCCAGTATACCCTATTACAGAGATGAATTGTGTTAACAGTTGCAAAAATAAACCTTGGATAGAACTAAAGCTTGGATCTCTAGCTACTGGTACACCTGGACAACGGATAACTCAAAAATTACTGTTAAAAAGAGGCAGACTAGTGATCACAATGGCCCAAAATAAGTTGGTGGCAATGAGGTTGAGGAAAATGTAGTACAATCATCCCAATTTGCATTTTTAAACTGTACTGTGAAATAATTTACATATCATACAATTTACCCATTATGGTGTACAATTGAATGAGTTTTTTTTAGAATATCACAGATACATGTGACCATCATCACAGTCAACTTAGATTAGCTTTTTCTCATCATGAAGAAACTCTGCCTGTAATCCTGTAATCCCACGCCTTGGGAAGCTGAGGTGAGTGGATTGCCTGAGCTCGCAGGTTCGAGACCTGCCTGGGCAACTTGGCGAGACCTCATCTCTATAATAAATCAAAAATTAGCCAGGCATGGTAGCGAGCACCTGTAGTTCCAGCTACTTGGAAGGCTGAGGCGGAAGGATCACCAGAGCCCAGCGGGTCGAAACTGTGGTGGCCGGGAGCAGCCACTGAACTCCAGTCTGGGTGACAGAGTAAGACTCCAACTCAAAAAAAAAAAAAAAGAAAGAAACTCTGTACCATTTAGATATCACCCCCCCCCCACCAATTCATCATCCTATTCCTTTACTTTCAGTCCAAAACAACTACCATGCTAATTTTTGTTAAACTCTAGACATGTCACTATTTGGGACATTTTATATAAATAAATACTATAATATGTGTTATTTGTAAATGACTTTATAAACTTACCATAATGATTTCAAGGATCATCCATTTTGTAGTGATGTCAATGCTTCATTCCTTTTATGACTGAATAATATTCCATTGTTCGGAATTACCACATTTTAAAATCCATTGTTCAGTTGATGGACATGTGAAGAAGGAAACTCTGAGCCTCTGTGATGAGGTTCTTCCTTCCCGTTCCTAGGAGCATCATTGTCTTTTACTGGAGACTCTGTGGGGTCCTAGGCATACTCCAGGTAGGCTGACAGCTCCCTAGTTCATGTATAATGCTTTCAGGTATGTAAAAGTGAACCAGTCTCAGCAAGGGGCAGATGGGGAGAAGAAGGGAGACTGAAGCAAGAAAACCTTACCCATTAAGAACTCCACGTCAGTGAATACAGAAGAGTAAATTCAGTTTCCCTCAAGACAAAAAAAAATTGTCAATCTCTCCTTTCACTTTCTGAATTTTTCTGCTGATTTTTTTGTGTTGGTTGTCAGATTTATCTTGCATCTCATTGAGCTTCTTTATAATCAGTATTATGAAACCATTATCTGACATTTCAGGAATTTCACTGTGGTTAGTTTCTGTTGTTAAAAAATTTGTGAACCCCTTAGGAAGCATAAGACAGTTTTTTTCATTCTTTCAGGGTTGTTTCTCTGGTTCTTTCTTATCTGGATGAACTAGGTGGCTAATCTCTGTGAGTTCTTTTGATATAGATGACTTGTGTATGTAACTTTCCCACCTGCAGTTTCTATGTAGTGGGGGTGTGAACTGCTTCCTGTGAGGCTAGGGTGGTGGTGGGGGAGAGTGGTCTCAGGAGGCTTAACTTGGTCCTCGATGGTGTAGGCTGGTGTTGGCAAATTACCTATTGTGATGCATTGTTCAGTCTCTAGACCAAGAGGGGGTGCCTATAGGCAAAGGGCTGGCTATTATAGATGTGGATGAATATTACTTGATCCTTCTTTACTGGAAGAAACGCTCTGTTTTCTCAGCATTGAGTTGGTCTGTAGAGTACACTATAGTCTGTGTTCCCAGTTCAGTCCCTGGGCAGGGAGAACCAAAATGGATGGGGCCAAATCAGTAAGGCCCAGTTATGGGTCTACTAGTGTCAGGCACAAGAACCTGCTTGAGGCCGAGTCTAGTGTGTGACCTCAGAGTGTCTAGAACATCAAAAAGTGGACAAGGGACATGAATAGACACTGCTCAAAAGAAGACACACAAGCAGCCAACAAACATATGAAAAAATGCTCAATATCACTCATCATCAGAGAAATGAAAATTAAAACCACAGTAAAATATGACCTCACACCAGTCAACATGGCTATTACTAGAAAGTCATAGAACAACAGATGTTGGCGCTATTGCAGAGTAAAGGAAACACTCATCCACAGTTGGTGAGATTGTACACTAGTTCAACCTCTACGGAAAACAGTGCAGAGATTTCTCAAAGAACTAAATGTGGAATTACAATTTGACCCAGCAATTCCACTACTAGAGATCTACCCAAATGAAAATAAATCAATATTTTTAAAAAAAATACCTGTACTTGTAGGTTCATTGCAACACTATTCACAAGAGCAACATTATGGAACTAACTTAAGTGCCAACCAACAATTGACCAAATAAAGTGTGGAATACTATGCAGCCATAAAAAAGACTGAAATCATGTCCTTTTCAGCAATATGGATAGAGTTGGAGATCATCATACTAAGTGAACTGACTCAGAAACAAAAAACCAAGAGTTAAAGGGTCACAAAGATGGAAATAATAGATACTCAGGACACCAATAAGGGAGAAGGTAGCAAAGGGGGTCAGGAGATTAAGGGTTCAGAAATTATCTATTTGGTATGATGTTCACTATCTTGGGAATGGGCCACCTGAGACACAATCCCCACCACTACACAATATATCCATGTAATAAACATGCATGTGTACCCCCCTAAATAAAGATTTTTTAAAAGGACAAAATCCTTTACACCCATTTATACAGCCAAGAAAGCATCACCTGGTGAAAGAACATGTGTCTGACCAGGAACTCAATTTGAATAATTCCTTTAAGGTAGAATGGGTGCTAGTGACTATCTGAGGACTTTGGGGCTGACCTTACCTGGAAATTCTTCCACTCAATATTCCAAAGCCTGGGATGGATAAGGCAGAGGAATCATGAGCTTTGGGGCAGATGTGGGCTGTAATTGTCTTCCCTCAAGGTGGGAGTGTCAGCATGGCTGTAGGAATCTGAGCAATCTGAACATTTTCAGCTTGGGGTGTAACAACCTTCTGGATAAAAAAGAATGAAAATTGTTTATTTTCTACTAAATATTCATGGCAGACAGAAGGATTAATAGACATTAGCTTGAAAACTTTCAGTCATAGAATTTATTTTGGTTGGTACATTTGAAAGCATTAAGCTATGACAAAATGAGAAAGCAGACTGTTTCCACTTTTGAATCAAGCAAGTAAATGATAAACTTCCTAATAATATCTTTCTCTACCTTATGACTTTTTGATGCTATCACATAGTTACTGTTGTAAAAGAAATATAGAAAAATAGAAATATTAAATGTTCCTTAATAAAAGTAGTCTAATTTGACAATGCAGCCATAGGAATAGCAATTCATTAGCAAATTAAAACACTGCTTATATCATTCTAATCTGTGCTTGATATTCAAAAAATTTGTAAAGCAAAGTTTCTTTTTCATGAACAGCTTATGATAGCAATATTAAAAGTAAATGTTGCAAATTGATATTCACTATGTTTCGTTAACATGATCTCTAACTTTGACCTGGGTAAATGAAGTCATCAACAAGAAATAGAGGGAAAAAGAATAATGTAAGCCTGTGAAAAATTAGAAAAGTCACTGTTATGTTGTCTATATGTATTTACAGAAGAAGAGTACTTTAAAAAATTATCTGCATTTCCAACAGGTTCCCTTATGCACGTTCAAAACCAAACTCATTCTTCACACCCCTGCACCTTCTCACCCCAACTGAAACCAGTTATTTCCCTACCATTCAGTATGCCATTGGTAAAATGTGTCACTATCCTTTCTGCCAGAAGAGTGGAGGTTTTTGTAGTTCTCTTTTATTCTAACCCAAATACATACATCTAGTTACTTCTGTCATATCT